CCCACAATCTATCTCCGCCATTTCTCTTAACAGAGGAAGGGAAGCCAACAGTGTGCTTGTCTCTATTACGTCTCCGATGCCTGCTGGAGGAGACTGAGTTTCCTCTGACTGAAGGGTGAAAGAGGGAGACCAGTCTTAAAACTATTAGTCCTGAGGAGGCTGGGGGTACAGGATCAATCCTTTATTCTCCATTGTACTTAATGGGGAATTGACGTGCTCTACCAGCCACACAAGTTTGTTGAACTTTGCAGTTAGTCTGCTTGATGCTGGCCTGTTCACAGACTGCCCGTAGCGTTTGGGAGGGGTCTCGAGTACAGGGCCACAAAGGTTATTTTTGAACTTTTTTGGAATTGCAACTTTCAGTCTCTCAGGATTACTATTTTTGGTTTCCCTCCAAGGCAAAAATGGCTGCAATAGCTGCAGAAGAGCTGGATGACACCGAAGAAAAACCTATTTCCTCGGTTCCTGGAGCTACCGTTTCCTTAGGCATGTCACCTGGCCCACTGGGAACAACTTGGCCTCTGAGTGCAATAATCCAGTTGTGGCCTCTTGGACTAGCCCTGTCCACTGCACCTGTTACAGTGGGCGGGCTTCGACGAGACCCGTCCTTGCTGATGTGCTTGAAAGTGCTTCATCAGAACAACCGCTGCAAAATAGAGAGCAATTTGTTTGGCTGTGGCATCGCCTCCATCAGAGCACTCCCACAGGTAACACACCCGACACCAGACCTCAGAGCCTGCCACCATCAGGAGCAGGTCTGCTAGCCAGACTCTAGTTTCCTGGGTTTGTGACATACACATTTACCCTACGGATGCACACAGCTGAGAGGGAGAGGATAGTCTTGCATCGTAGGCAAGGACGGAGTGTCTAGATTTCGGGCACAGCATTTCTGATCACATGGGTAAATTCTGTTCAAGGCTCAAACATTAATGCCCAAGGTTTCGGTGTGGAAGATGCTGCAGAAGTGTAGAGTGTTGCATCCACACAGCAAGGCTTGTCTACACAGGGAAAAGCCCCACAAGTTAGTACAGAACAAAGACCTATTCCACGCTAACTCCCCATGTGGCCACTCCAGTTCTGCACTAAGAATGCCTTCATGTGGTTTAGTGGATTAAAATACTACAAAAACATTTACTGCAGAGTGCATCCACACGGGGAGGTACTGCAAAGAGCCACTATGCTTTACGTCCACCCCCCAGCCATTTTTCAGTGACTTCCCCGTACAAACAAAGCAAGAGATACTGGTATTGGAGCTCTTCAGGGAAGCAAAGCAAAGGATGGCCAGCTATGCATGTTCAATCACCTCTAAGAAATAGTCAGGTCACAACCCTAACTTGCATTTTGGCAAGCTGCTCCTTATTTGTTTTTGCCCACTTTTTCAGTATGAAGTCAGTAGAGGCAGCATCATGAGAAGCTGAGCACGCAGAGACATCATTTATGCAAGACTACAAGCATCCTTATCCTCTTAAGACACCTCTGGGCCTTAGGCCCTCATTTAGTTAGACACTTCAGGGCACAAACCAAAAGTCTCCTTACTGCAGCCATTCTTGATAGTAATGGTTTGCTTTGCAAATTCATCCTTGCTGTAATTCCTTTAAGTCTGAAGGATGGAGGGTCGTCATGCTGACTCCTTTGCTCTGCAAGTCCAACTTCAAGGGACTGCTCACAGAATAAGGGTCCGGTCAGCGAATGAGGATTGGAATCTGCCTCTCAACGTGACAGCTTTTCAACTGATAACTGTGTTTTTCTTCCTAGGGCTCCATCAAGTTTCACTGCAAGAAATCTCCACTGCTACATGCGAATGTCAGTCCTCATAACCAGGCCTACATCATCACTGGATTCAACCAAATTTTACTAGATAGGAAAAAACTGCTCACCACATAAGGCGGCCTGCCTTTTTGTCACCTTAATTTATTGCACTTTTTCCTTCAAGGAAGGACTTCCTGCCAGCTGCCTCTTCCAGGTATTTCAGGCCGTCCTCCTTCGTTGCATGAGAAGGATCAATTTAAATGTATCTGCTGCTACCTCAGTCTTGCTTTTTTACTGCAAGTTGCGTGTACTACATTGCTAAAGGTGTAAAACTACATCTCTTCGGGGTTAGCCTAGATTTCTTCCTTTCTCCTACAGATAGTGGGAGATGTGTCAATACTAAGAAAACACTGAAGTATGGCTACAGAGAAAGAAAACCTAAAGTACCTTTCACTAGAATTATAATAGAGAAAATATATACCTGAACAAATGGAAGTCTTTGATCTAACAAGCACTCTTTTAGCACTACTCAATACACAAGAGGCTGACAGTAAGGTTTTTTAAAAATCTGAAATGAATTCTCTGCTAGTTTTCCCCCTCCATCCCCATCAACCCACTTTCCTCTGCAGCTAAATACAACTGTTTTGCTCAGCCAACACTAAAATTTAGCAGTCCAGTAGCACTTCTGGCCATGAAAATGCAAAGAATTTTAACGGTTTTCATTATGACCAGATGTTAAGCATAATGCTAGATAGAGCTCTCAGGAAAAGTACAGTTACTTCTTTGTCAGATAAAGATCTAAACGTATTTGTAACCAGATTTAAACAGCAGGGAAAAGAACAAAATATACAGATTCAGGATTTATCTGCCCAAAGTTAGGTGCAGTGCACTGAGTCAAGCCTTTTAAAAAACTATTAGGATGCTATTGCTTCTTCAGAAAGAGGCTATACTCTTTTCTTTTTTTTTTTGCAAAAATGTACATCTTTCACATTGTCCATGTGGTCAGTAGCACAGATGGCTTTTACCACAGGATCCTTTGGACTGCCAAAGCAAACTGAATGTTTTTCCTCTCCTCTTTCACACGGGTCTGGGAAGTGTTTTGTGGGTTTGTGTACATGTCATTTTAATAAACAAGTCTCTTGCGGGTGTATCTGAGCTCTCTCCACAAGTGTGTATCCTTCAAGCATCTAATTAAACAAAAACCTGCTGCTTTGTTCATCAAGTGAGAATAGATTTATTCTAATCCTTTTCCTTTTATTTTGAAGATGACAAGTCCTGGTTGTAACCACTACTGACAACAGAAAGTCGTAGGCAGAGAAAATGAGTCACAGAACAATTAAGGCTCCATTAGGATCTAGAAAGCATGTTCCTCTCTCAATTGCTACCCTCAAATTAGAGGTCTCAAATCTTACCATACAGTCCAACATGAGAAGTGAGAATTAAAAGTATTGACACTGCTTATTTAAATAGGCCAGCACTGCAGAAGGGACTTCCCAGGCTGCTTCATCACAGCATGGGGTAGCGCAGCATCTCTTCCATGAAAGACATTCACAAGTGGGTACGTCCACTCCTGAAGATGCGCTCACTCCGGAAGTATGTTCTCTTTCTCTGGAGGCTCGATGATTCTCAAACAGCAGTCCACAAACTCCACAAACAAGGGCTCTTGCATATACTTTTTCATTACAGAGTTCCTCTCTTCTGCTTGATCTACAGCTACGAGCAATTGCCTGAGATGTGGGTTCCTTAGTAAATCTTTCAATTCTTCTGATTCTCCTGTTTAAAAGAAACAAAACAAAAAGTGGTGATCTTCACTCCCAGCAAAATACCTGAAGGCATGCAGACAACTGCCCAAGTACTTGGGTATTTGAAGGCTTTCATCGACCCTATTCTGCTTCTATGGGACAAGCGTAGTTAACACATACATACTTTCTTCCTCCAACAATTTTTTTTTTTTTTTTTTTTAAGAAAATGGTCCTTTTGAAGTTTCCAATTATAAGCCCATAGACCTTTGAAGACACAAGGCACCCCTTGGAAAATTCAGCATTTAGTTTTCACTTGTTTTTTTTTTTTGAGTACAGGAAAATAATAGCAATTCTATTACAAAGAACACAGAAAGACCACAGCAGCATTGTACTCAGAGGCCCCAGCAGGACAAAATGTTTTTAACTATTTGACAAGGTAAACACAAGAGTTTTCAATCACGTCCCATCTAGCAGTGCTGATACCTGCGAGGCATCCCTCTGCACCTTTGAAAAGATCTTAGGACTTTAGTTGAGGAATAAAAGTAAAGGAGTCTGTGGCAGTCAGTCTCACCATAAAGAATAAAAACCCACAGCAGTGGATCCAAACCATGGATGGCACCAGGTCGTGCCTGCCTTTATAGTATCTTTGATTCAAAGTTCAAATCAAGCTGCCGGTTGCCTGTGAAAAACAGGTGACATGGGTACTTTGGCCCCAAATGTTAATGCCTCTTCCCCTGTCAGGCAGCGGTATGATAAAACCTACATGGTTCCTTCTCCTGCTTCATTCACAGGAACTTCAAATTATTCTGAAGTTACTGTTTGTCCACCATTGACAGCCACCCTGGATGGACACCCTGCTAACTTCACAAAAGCTTTCACATAGTCTCATAGCTCGTAGTGGATTTTAGTGACAAGATTACCTAAAAGTTTGAGTTTCTGCAGTGGAACTCGATCCTGCTCATCACTGTCCGTCAGGATGTCCTCTACAGACCACGAGTTTCCTGTGGAAAGTAGAAGGATGGTTCAATTTAGTAAGATGGGAAGGTAAATTAGGTTGTCTGAAAGTCGCAAGGGGCAAACATTTCCCCCGCCCCAACTCCCATGAACACTGCTGCTCATCAGGAAAACTTTGTTTTGATCCATGGAGCAGGCCTCAGATACAAGTTTCTGGTGTTTCTGTGCGAAAATAGAGGTGGCTCATAGCTTCATCTACTCTGAGATGATGCTGGTCAGTCTGGTCTGAGAGCAGACATGAGCTAGTACAGCCTTGAAGTTTTTTGATCCCGTTATACTTGCCAATATATAGGGAATTTGCCGGAGGCATATAGGCCTGCTTTGAAAAGCCTGGGCAAGTAGGAGAACCCCAACTTTTACTCTATCTATAACAATACACACACATATAAATACACACACGCATAAATACATAAATATATATATAAGTATATATATAAACATATAAAATACACGCACATTAGTTCTCCAAAAGAGCAAGTATTTCAAAAAAATGCTGAAATTCCCCATTTTTTTCCTTTTTATCCCCACAATCGATCTCCGTCTCTCTTAACAGAGAAAGAGAAGCCAAATGCGTGTTCGTCTCAAACTGCCGATGCCTGCTAGAGGAGACTGTTTCCTCTGGCTGAAGGATCAGGGAGGGATGGTCTGGCATCATCCGTCAGAGGGCAGACGAAGGTGTGGGCTGCCCCTTTTATTTTCTAGCAAGTCCCTAGCGTTTGAATACTGAAGGCCCACCCCGCAGATCAAAATGTGGTTTCTTGACAAGGGCCAGCGCTTGGTGAAGGCAGGGGCAACATTTGCCTCCCTGTGACTTTCAGCCCTCAGCCCATTCAAAGAGCCCTGTGGGGTTATCCACAGCTTGCTGCAGCGGATGCAATAAGCTTCACTTCACCCCGCAGGCGCTAACCAGCAGACCTGTAACCTCTTGCGGGGTATGACACGAAAACCCCAAGGTTGAAGAGAAGTACGTGGCACGCTGGGCGAGCCCCTCACACATCTGCGGCCATACCTGGGGTCCCCGACGTCCCCACGCCCGGCAGCTGGGAGGCGGGCAGGCTGTCAGCAGACGGGTCCTGTCGGGCCGTGCACTGCTCTGCTGGGAATCCAGGGCAGACGGGCTCGTTAGCAGGAACGTGAGCAGCAAGATCCCAGGAAGCAATTATTCAGCACCGACCCCGCACTACAGAAAGGATATGGGAGGGCTCGGGAGAGGTTGAGAGAATCGGATTTATTTACACCAGACAAGGCTGAAGGGGGCGTTTAATAGCAGCCTCCTGTGCAAAGAGCTGGACTGTTGCAGGCGACAACTTGCAACAGGAGGAGATTAGGAAAAACTCCTTCCCACGGAGGGCGGCGAAGCGGACCCCAAAAGGCGCTGGACTCCCTCGGAGGTGTTGAGGGCAAAGGCTTGGCTGGGAGAATGTGCTGGGGCTGCGCGAGATGTGGCCCGGGCCTTACCTTTGTGCTGCCTGCAGCACGGCACGGAGCAGCTGCAACAGAGACGAGAGGCATGAATGAGCCCGGGGTCAACCCGCACACCCCCTCTTCACAAATTAACCCCCCCCCGCCCGCCGTGCCCCAGCCCGGGCTCACTAGGGCTCCCGGCAGCGCGGGCAACGGTACTTGGGGGCGCCTGCCCCGCACACGCCGCAGCCCCCCGCCGCCATGTGCAGCCCACGTGCGTGCGTCGCCAGCCCGCGCGGCCGAGCGCCGAGCGCCTCCACCTAATTCACCGCCGATCTGCCCGGGGCCGCTCGACCAATCGAGCGCTGAGGCGCAGGGGCGACCAATCCACCGCCGATGCTGCCCCGAGCGGAGCGACCAATCGATTGTCGAGCGTAGAGGCAACCAATCCAACGCCGATACAAGGGTGGGGGAGGGCGAGGCGCAGCGCTCAGTGCGGCTGCGCGCGGCCCCGGGCTGGGAGCTGCGGCATCCTGGAGAGGCAACTGGAGCTAGTAGAGAAAGTTGATGCTGTATAAAGAAAATTAAACTGATGCCTTCACCGGCATAAAAATGCCACCCTCCATGTCTGCCTGCAACCCAAATAATAGAAGAGTCCCCCATCACCCAAATAAAAGGGAGGGGCCCCATGCCAGCACTTGCAACACAAATAATAGGAGGGTCCCCCATAACCCGAATAAGGGGGGCGCTTCCCCATGCCACCGCCTCCCCCCTCTGGCAGGGGCTTTATTGCAGCCCCAGTGTCTCCGGGGCTGCTAAAGACAACATAGGATTTCACAGAAGCAGTTTTCTGCACGGGAATCTACAAACAGAAGCACATTTGAAAATAATGCCTGCCTTTGAAAGTACCGAGGGTGTTGCTTTTAAAAGGATGATCTCTCTTTGAATGGGATGCTGTGTTGTTTTCCACAGTGCTCCACTTTGGACAGCTTTGCAGGGACAAACATCTCCCTTTTCCCGCTGGTTTTCATTACTTCCCTCTCCCAACTCGAGACCGCACACGTGTTCCAGTTCCGCTAATTTAGGGAGGGTCCTTCTTGGAAGAGAGCTGGATGAGGCAATAGGCCAAAAAAGATGGATCTTGAGACAAGAGTCTGACATGGTTTGGGACTCAGGTGGAGAAAGGGTGATGTGGCTCTTCCAGATGACGGGGAAAGAGGAGGAGAAAGGATAGTCTATCATCTGCAAAGGAACAGGGAAGCAGAGAAAGAGAAATACTCCTGCTCAGTGAGAGGCCACCAGTGTGAACAACTGTATTGCAGCTCGGCTGGTAAGCTGCGTACAGTGATGTGTTCCTGGAAGGAGTGCTGTTATAAACCAGGTCAAAAGTGGGGGAGAAGCTGCAGACCACGTCATACATCTCTCAGGGACACCAGCAGCATCCTGCAGCTGAGTGCCAAGTCTACTGGTGACCAAGGTGAGCAGCAGTGCTGCACCTCCAACCTAATAATGCAGATGGGTTTTGAAAACAAGAAGAAGAATTGACCTCCCCCTCCCCAGCTTTGCTGGTGAGATATAATAATCTAAAGGAAATAGGTACTGCTTGGCACAGTTAATGGTAAAACTGAATGAACTCCAGTTACCCAAGTTTTTATCTTACTCTGCGAATGGCACAAAGCCAAGAACAATGCTGGTATAAATTGGCCATGAACTGAAAACATGTCTTCACGTGCTCCTCGGTGCCATGCGTTCCTTGGGACCTTGTTTCTTCTTGCAACAAGCCAGTAAAAAGCGGGTTCAGTTCTGGTTCCCTTGGAGTTATGATGCATTTTTCGTTTCCAGCACAGACGATTGATTTAAGCAACACAGTCTTGTAGGTTCATCCTCGCACAGAAGAAGAAATGGCAGTTTGCACTCAGATGCCACAACAGTGTGGAAGGTATAAATACCCAGACAAGAAAAGCGTTCAGCTCTGCACCTGCAGCTGCTGAGATCAAAAAAAAATACTGGGAAAATCCTGCTTCTTTGGCTTGCAAGTAGACCACTCCTGCCCTCTTGTGGCACTGCAAGCAGAGAGCACTTCACCTGTGCTCAGGTTAATTTTTAAATTCTGGGTAATCCCCAAGGCAGAGGTGGTCATCCTGCAGCACGCACAGCAGGTCAGTGAAGGGGAAGGGACCAGAAAGCAGACCAGGCAGGAGAAGGC